TGTACATATGTACGTATATAGAATTTTATTAGTTATCATTTAGCCAATTAGGTATCTGTAAAAATAATATACAATCATATAATTAACAATAGTTATAATTAATATAATAAAACTAATTTAATGATAAAAATTAATTTTAATGATAAAATTCATTTATATAAAATCCGAACATACATTACTAGTCTGTTTTTGGTCATTAGTTAACCCCAAATCTTTCGAAATATAAGGTAATAAGGGAGCAATGGCGAACCATCCAGTAAAAGCAGTCATAAAAGAAAGCCATGCGAGATGGAATGTTCGGCCATGAGGCTTAGAGAAACTTAGTAAATGAATAGCCTTAGCTTTGGTTGTCCTGTCGTTTTCAACGACAGTAGGAGGAGGAGAAAATTTAAAATTAACATTCATTTTATTTTATTTTTTTTTTTTGAATTTTTTTAAATGAAATAGATCCCGAAAGACAGAATAAATATAATGCTTCTTGTGCAACAGGGATTGTTGTTTAACACAAAAGGGATGAAAATATTCCATTTGGCGACAATAGGGCTCTTTTAAAGTTTTTTTTTCTTTTTTTTTTTTTTTTTTTTTTTTTTATTTTTTTTTTTTCTATTTTTTTTTTTTTTTCAATTTTTTTTTTTTTTGATTACACATTTTATTACACATTTGTATATTTGTACAAATCATGTGTATATAAGTTTAGAATAAGTTTTTAAAATAAATAGGATTTTCCATAAATATATATTATAGTGTACTGATAACGTAACGATAAGATAACTTTTTTATTATCCGGCTGGTCATTCTTGTCATTCCTTCCTTATCTATCGAAATTACACAACTTTATACGTGACCTTTCAATTCGCGCTGAAGTTAGTTACAATCGGGTGATTTTGGAATTAAATAGCAATGTTCTCGTTAACTAATCGGCGTATTTATTAGATCTTTAAAAAAAACTTTATGCAAATGGATTTTTGTTTTTTGAAAACATATTAATTTGACCCGATTCGCCAAGCGATTACAGTCGTGATCACATGAGGACTATTTTTATTTTGTTTTGTCATTGAACAAGTCTTTAATGATAACGAAATTTTCACTTTTTGCACTTCGGATAGTTTTATTTTTGACTTTATGAAACTTTAAAATTTCATAATTATTACGTAACAAATTAAAAAGTTCTAGAATAAATAACAATATTTAGCCATTATTCTTATCTTTAAGTTATTATAGGGCGATAACCGAAAAATTCTTTCTTTAAAAAAAATGTGTGCATGGCACGGTAAGACAATGTAGTACGTACGACAAAGCTTATCTCATGCAGTCTGATTAACCAAAAACAGAGGTGTCTTAAGTTGGCATTTTTTAAATTGTTTATTAATATCTATAAACGATAATAATTTAAACATCAGGTGGGCTAACACTACTTTGGCAGTTTGTAGGACAAAAATATATATTTAATTATTTACGTGAATTGATTAAATGCGCATGCAAATAATTGAATAATTGGCGCACTTCAAAAAAATCCGAGTAGCCAGAGAATGTGTTATCTTTATCGTTATCTTCAATGATAAGCAAAATATAAACATTTGTTGATATACTTGATATACTAAATTTAGCAATCATAACGATATGGTTACTAAAATCTGCACTGTTACACGAGTTTTCGAGATTTTTTGAACTTTCCTTGTTTTCTCATTTTCTTGGAAATTCATTCACGGTAATTAAATTGGTTGATCTGTCATGCCTCTCAAAACTTGTTTTTGTTGTCTTTAAATCATCTTTTATCTTTAATCATCTTTTATCTTATCGTTATCAGAAATTCGCCTTCAGATAACGCAAATCGATCAACTATCATCCTTAATAGTAAATAAAATACTTGCGGTCAGATTATGCATGCCGTTACTCGTTACTTCATGACGTAATTATCAGAGTTAATAAATGGTTTTGCTTTCGGATCTTTATCAAATCATACTTTCTTTCCAAAGTAATCATTTTACTCGCAACTTGTAACTCGCAACTTGTAAACTCATTCTCTATACAAAATATCTCATTTTTATATACTATTCTAATTTTTAATTCATTTGTGTGGCAGCTGAAGCTGAGCTCTG